AACAATTCACTGGTATAATTGACATTTCGTAAAACTGTTGACTTGTTTTTTCGAGCGATTTTTATCAGAAAAATCTTCAAAAACTTGATAATATACGATTGAGTAATTTATTATCCATTTTTGAACCTAATTCGTTTATAGATATCATTTGCACCTAAAAAATTATTGTTCTTTTTAGAAATGCCTTGTCCAAGTTTGTTCATCCCCTTGGACAAGATTGCATTTGCAACCCTCACGCATAACGACATAGAATCTCCGTTGTGATTGTCGTTTCTTTTGTGAATTGTAGAACATGACGGTTCCATTTTGTCTAAAGATTAGTGATGTCTTTCGGACACATGGTGAGTCCATTTCCTGGTGTCATGGCCCATGCATTGTCTGCTTTCCTTTGTCCCTGTGAGGTGAGAAAGTGATTATCAGAAGTTGTTTGAAATTACATAGTTATATATAAACACAGTGTTTAAGGTTTATACATCAATGGGGTTTACCGTTTATTTTGGGTTCTTAGCGGGTGGCACTTTGCCAAGAGAACAGGATCTCTGGCCGAAAGAAACATGAAACGATAAAAGAATCTTGTCCAGTCGGTCAGGATCTTATTAGTTAGAAATTTGGAATAATGATTGTCGTAACGATTTTGTGTCCGCCCGACGAATTTGGAAACGAAATAAAAATAATGGAGTCGCCACCGATCTTTTTTGGCTAGGTGCGATTGGCCACCTATTAAAACATATCCTTTTAATGAAATCTTAAAATTAATTAAAATTTATTAAAAAGATAATTTTACGGTCTGCAAAACAGTCTGGGTTCGGGAGTCGATTACGTGTGGGGAAGGATTAGCACCCCCACAACGCCCGTTAAAAACGGTACCAATTAACAACGTGTTATCCTTTAATTTTGATACAAACAGTCTTATTTTCAGTATTCGAAAAATAATTTCTTTGATTTTTTATTTATTAAAATTATTCTCGAGAAAAATAAATTAAAACCTTTTTGTTGAAATAATTCTTAAAATATTCCAGTACGTTGGTAACATTAAAAGAACTCTTTCTCACCTAGAGATTTCTTAAAGCATCTCTACTCGGAATACTTTTAGAATCTCATCTTTGGAGGCTCGAATTTACTTTTCGTAAGAAAATGTCATGTAAAAAAAATTTATTCTCGAGAAAAATAAATTAAAACCTTTTTGTTGAAATAATTCTTAAAATGTTCCAGTACGTTGGTAACATTAAAAGAACTTTTTCTCACCTAGAGATTTCTTAAAGCATCTCTACTCGGAATACTTTTAGAATCTCATCTTTGGAGGTCTAAATTTACTTTTCGTAAGAAATTATGTTATGCATGCCATGCAAAATATTTTCGTGTTTATGCACACATTTTATTCTCATTCAAAAATTTTATTAATTATTTTATTAATTTTATTAATTTTAATTAAAATTTTGAAGAAAAAAGGAATTTAATCATATTGAAGATTTTCTATAAATATTCCAATACGCTGGTAATATTTTACAAAAAATCTTCTCACCTAGAGATTTCTTAAAGCATCTCTACTCGGAATACCTTTGAATCTCATCATCGGATTAAATTTCTTTTCTTCTTATTTTTATTACTTATATTTTAATATATTCATTAATTTTTATTTATTATTCTTAAAAAAAGAAAATCTTTACTATATTGAAAAATTTTTATAAATACTCCAATACGCTGGTAGTACTTAAAAAAATCTTCTCACCTAGAGATTTCGTAGGCATCACTACTCGGAATACCTTTGAATCTCATCATCGGATAAAAATTTCCTCTTCTCTTATTTTTTATTAGTTATATTTTAATTTATTAATCAATTTTTATTTATTATTTTTAAAAAAAAGAAAATCTTTACTGTATTGAAAATTTTTTATAAATACTCCAATACGCTGGTAGTATTTTAAAAAAATCTTCTCACCTAGAGATTTCGTAGGCATCACTACTCGGAATACCTTTGAATCTCATCGTCGGATAAAAATTTCCTTTTTCTTTCATTTTTTTATTACTTTAGTATTATTATTAAATTTATTTTTTATGTTATTGTTTTTAAAGTTTATTCTAAAAATTAAAATAATTATATAAAAAATTATTTAACCACAATTTCATTAATTAGTCTAACAAATATAGATATTTTAATATGCATAAATATTAATAAAATAATATATAAAAAATAAGAAAAATTCAAAAAAAAAAAAAAAATTTTTTTACCTGAACCGGACCGGTCAACGGTCCGGTCAACTCCTGGTTCGGTTCGGCGGTTCGGTTCGATCTGGTTGGTTTGGTCCGGCGGTTCGGTTCGGTCTAGTCAGACCGGTCAGAGCTGATAAAGGCAGCGGGTCGCGGGTCGGGTGCGCGGACCCCGGGTCGGGTCGCGGGTTGACGCGCGGATCCTCCTTGGCTGAAACGGCGTCGTTTTGGGTCTTTCTCTAAACGACGTCGTTTTGAGTTTTTGCTTTACTATATATAGCTGAAGATTTTTTTTTAGTTCATTTGGCTTCTGTTTCAGAAAAAAAAAAGGGAGAGAGGGAGAGAGAGAGCTCTGGGGGAGGGTCGCCGGTCGGTTGCCGGAGCACCGTGCCGGCCGCCGTCTGGCTCGCCGCCGGCAGTCTTGGACGGTGGTTTCCGATGACCGGGAAAAGTGAAAATTCTTCTGGAAGTTCTCTTCGACGCGATCTTTCCAGATCCGGTGTCCTTTTTTACCGGAAACAACCCTGATCGACGTAGATCGGGGCTCAAAGTTCGGTCTCCTTTTTTTTTTTTTTTTTTTTTTTGAATCTGCTGATCTCTCTCTTTTTTTTTTCAGGTGACTTTCTGGCGCTGGGTTCCCCGTTCCAGGGGACTGTTGTTTTTTTTTTTTGTGTGTTTTTGCAGAATTTTTTTTTTTTTTACAGAAGCTGCCTCCTTTTTTTCTTTTTTTTTCGTTTCCTCTTTTAGTCTAGTTTACAAGCTTATTTATAGAGCTTGTTGGGATTCAAATCTCAGATTTTCTGAGATTTGAATCTCATTTTTCAACTGAAAAATCATACCTACCGTCCGTGATTGGTGGCTTGTCGGGAGGCTGATCGGGTAGTTGGTCGGGCCAGTTCGGCGCCGAACCAACCCCTTGACTTTTGTTTTATTTCTGTTTCTTTTGTTTGTTTATTTTTTGTTTTTTGTTTGTTTTGTTAAATATTATTATTATTAAAAAAAAAACAGTAGATCCGGACAAAACCGGTGTCTACAGCTGCCCCTCTTTGCACATTACTGAGAATCAGGAATAGGGCAAAGACAAAGACGACGATTTTGTCCGAAGATAAATCCTGATTTGATTTTTTTTATTTTTTTATTTTTGAAAGGGCTCCTCTCAGCAGAGGTTCAACAACTTTAAAATTCATCTTGGAAAAGCTCCTCTCAGCAGAGGCTCAACAACTTTAAAATTCATCTGAAAAAGCTCCTCTCAGCAGAGGCTCAACAACTTTAAAATTCATCTTGGAAAAGCTCCTCTCAGCAGAGGCTCCACAACTTTAAAATTTCATCTGAAAAGTCCTCTCAGCAGAGGCTCAACAACTTTAAAATTCATCTGAAAAAGCTCCTCTCAGCAGAGGCTCAACAACTTTAAAATCTCATCTTGGAAAAGCTCCTCTCAGCAGAGGCTCCACAACTTTAAAATTCATCTGAAAAAGCTCCTCTCAGCAGAGGCTCACAACTTTAAAATTCATCTGAAAAAGCTCCTCTCAGCAGAGGCTCAACAACTTTAAAATTCATCTTGGAAAAGCTCCTCTCAGCAGAGGCTCCACAACTTTAAAATTTCATCTGAAAAAGCTCCTCTCAGCAGAGGCTCAACAACTTTAAAATTCATCTTGGAAAAGCTCCTCTCAGCAGAGGCTCCAACAACTTTAAAATTTCATCTGAAAAAGCTCCTCTCAGCAGAGGCTCAACAACTTTAAAATTTCATCTGAAAAGCTCCTCTCAGCAGAGGCTCAACAACTTTAAAATCTATCTTGGAAAAGCTCCTCTCAGCAGAGGCTCACAACTTTAAAATTTCATTGAAAAAGCTCCTCTCAGCAGGCTCAACAACTTTAAAATTCATCTGAAAAAGCTCCTCTCAGCAGAGGCTCAACAACTTTAAATTCATCTTGGAAAAAGCTCCTCTCAGCAGAGGCTCCACAACTTTAAAATTCATCTTGGAAAAAGCTCCTCTCAGCAGAGGCTCCACAACTTTAAAATTTCATCTTGGAAAAGCTCCTCTCAGCAGAGGCTCAACAACTTTAAAATTCATCTTGGAAAAGCTCCTCTCAGCAGAGGCTCCACAACTTTAAAATCTCATCTGAAAAAGCTCCTCTCAGCAGAGGCTCAACACTTTAAAAATCATCTTGGAAAAGCTCCTCTCAGCAGAGGCTCCACAACTTTAAATTCATCTTCTGTTTCAAATTTGAGTTCTCATCTTTGAACAAGTAAATTTCCTCTTTTGAATTCCTTTGTTTGATCATTGGTCTTTACCAAAATCTTGTTTTTTCATTAAGAAATGGAAAATTTCTATCTGGGTTACAACTTCTCATGGATGCATGTACTGAGTGCTCATGATGCAATGCATGTAATGCAATCAAAATCGTTCATTGTAGTAAAAAGGTTCTCGAAATCTCTCGCTTTCGGCTTCTTTTATCTGAATTCTTATATGACCAATCTGTCTTCAACATCTGACCACAATATTTTTTTTTTCAAAAGTCTACAACATCAATGACTTGTCATGCTTTTCTCATCCTTTTTCATTTGCCTTTGTCAACTTTAAAAGTAATGCTGAGATCTTTCATGTTTGTTTTTCTTTTCATCATTTTAAGTTCAAGACAAATAAAATGCAATCACATTTCTCTGATGGACACAAAAATATCGAATAAGGATAAAGAAAGGATAGGCATTATTTTCAAATGAAGGATAATGTATTTTCTATGCTGATACCAAGTGTATGTCAAAGTGTTTGAGTTGAAATAAAGGTGTCAAAAGAATGATCACAAGATAATCATGAACAAAATATTCTCAGATTCTTTCTCTAAAACTAAATCAGATGACTTTCTTGATTATTCAAAGTTCGTCAAACTACACTTGCCCCTGCATTGTGGGATCTTTTCTTGATGATGCTTTTGCTTCACATCTAAGCCGCCTTTTCAGGTTTTCAACTTAGATAAGTCATCATTTTTTTCTTTTTTTTTTTTTTCTTTTTTTTTAAGCAAAATATTTCTTCACAACATCTGAATTTATTGGGGTAGGCAGATCACCTCCATCCATTTCTGCCAAAATCAATGCCCCACCAGAAAAGGCCTTTTTCACCACATACGGGCCTTCCCAATTTGGTGTCCATTTCCCTCGATTATCATGTTGATTTGGAAGGAATCTTTTTAGCACTAAGTCTCCTTCCCTAAAGCAACGGGGACGAGTTTTCTTGTCATGTGCTCTCATCATCCTCTTTTGATATAATTGACCATGACAAAGTGCTGACAGTCTTTTCTCTTCAATGAGGTTTAACTGCTCGTAGCGATTTCGAACCCATTCTGCTTCCTCTAACTCTACCTCCATCAGGACTCTCAGTGAGGGAATTTCCACTTCGATCGGTAGCACAGCTTCCATTCCATATACCAAAGAGAACGGTGTGGCCCCAGTAGATGTTCTGACTGATGTTCTATAAGCATGCAAGGCAAAAGGCAACTTCTCATGCCAATCTTTGTAAGTTTCAGTCATTTTCTCCAGGATTCTCTTGATATTCTTATTCGCAGCCTCCACTGCCCCATTCATTTTTGGACGATATGGTGCCGAATTACGATGGCGGATCTTGAACTGAGTGCATACTTCATTCATCATTTTGTTGTTCAAGTTTTTGGCATTATCAGAAATAATTGTCTCCGGAAGCCCATATCTACACATTATCTCTCTTTTTATGAACTTACATACCACAGATCGGGTCACACTAGCATATGATGCAGCTTCTACCCATTTGGTGAAGTAATCAATCATCACAAAAATGAATCTATGCCCATTCGAAGCTTTTGGAGTAATGGGACCAATGACATCCATACCCCACATTGAGAATGGCCAGGGAGGAGCTAGAACGTGTAATGTTGATGGTGGAGCATGAATCTTGTCAGCATAAATCTGACATTTATGACATCTCCTAGCATAATCAATACAGTCACTCTCCATTGTCAACCAATAATAGCCAGCCCTCATAATTTGTCTAGCCATCATATGACCATTTGTATGTGCCCCACAAACTCCATCATGCACTTCTTCAATAATCTTCTTTGCTTCAGCTGCATTTACACATCTTAAGAGCACTTGATCTCGATCTCTTTTGTAAAGGACATCTCCATCAATAAAGAAACTCATAGCCAATCTTCTGATAGTTCTCTTATCATTTTTTGTTGCATGTTCTGGGTATTGCTGGCTTTTAATGTATTGCATGATGTCATGATACCATGGCCTTTCATCAATTTCTTTTTCAACACCTGAGCAATGTGCTGGTATATCTTTCACGTCCAGCTTGATGGGTTGGATTTCAGTATTTGCATCTATTTTGATCATTGCAGCTAGAGTAGCCAGTGCATCAGCAATTTGGTTTTCCTCTCTAGGTAGATGCTCAAACTGAACTTCTTTAAATTGCTTAACCAACTCAGAGATGTATTTATGGTACCGAATCAACTTAGAGTCTCTTGTTTCCCATTCACCTCGTAACTGATAGATGACTAAAGCTGAATCTCCAAACACATCTAACACTTTGATCTTCTTTTCAATTGCTGCTTGTAGACCCATAACACAGGCCTCATATTCAGCCACATTGTTTGTGCAATTAAAATTTAATCTGGCTGTGATGGGGTAATAATGTCCATCAGGAGATATCAAAATTGCCCCAATACCATGACCCAAAGCATTAGCAGCTCCATCAAAATACATCCTCCATGATTTTTCAACAGGTTCATTTTTTTCAATGGCCATCACATCCTCATCAGGAAAATCTAATTTCATTGGCTCATAATCTTCGACTGCACGATCAGCAAGGAATTCAGCTATTGCACTCCCTTTAATAGCTTTTTGAGTCACGTAAATGATATCATATTCTGAAAGCATAACTTGCCACCGTGCTATTCTTCCTGTCAATGAGGGCTTTTCGAAGATATACTTAATAGGATCCAGCTTTGCTATGAGCCAAGTAGTGTGATAAAGCATGTATTGTCTAAGCCTTCGAGCTGTCCAGGTTAATGCACAACACATCTTCTCTAATGGTGAATACTTTGACTCATAATCAGTGAACTTCTTGCTCAAGTAGTAAATTGCTCGTTCTTTCCTGTCAGTTTCATCTCTTTGCCCCAGCACACATCCCATTGAATTTTCATGCACTGTCAAGTACAAAATCAAAGGTTTTCCTGGCATTGGTGGCACCAACACAGGTGGATTTGACAAGTATTCTTTGATCTTATCAAAAGCTTCTTGGCATTCGTCATTCCATTCTCCAGGATCATGTTTTCTGAGAAGCTTGAAAATAGGATCACACTTATAAGTGAGTTGAGAGATGAAGCGAGCAATATAATTTAATCTCCCTAAGAAACCTCGCACTTCTTTTGAGGTATGAGGAGGAGATAAGTTTTGGATGGCTTGTATCTTATCCGGGTCCACTTCGATTCCTTTTTCACTGACTACAAAGCCCAATAGTTTTCCTGATTTGGCTCCAAATGTACATTTGGCAGGATTCAACTTCAACTGAAATCTCCTCAACCTGTCGAACAGCTTTTTGAGATTGACGATATGATCCTCTCCTTCACGAGATTTTGCAATCATATCATCCACATACACTTCTATCTCTTTATGCATCATGTCATGAAAAAGAGTCACCATTGCTCTTTGATAAGTAGCACCAGCATTTTTCAACCCAAAAGGCATGACTTTGTAACAGAATGTTCCCCACATGGTCACAAATGTAGTTTTCTCCATATCATCTCGAGCCATCTTGATCTGATTATAGCCTGAGAAACCATCCATAAAGGAAAACGTGGAGTGCCTAGCAGTATTATCCACTAGAGTATCGATGTGAGGTAAAGGAAAGTTATCCTTAGGGCTTGCTCTATTCAGATCTCGATAATCGACACACATTCTCACTTTTCCATCCTTCTTAGGAACTGGCACTATGTTGGCTACCCATTCAGGATATTTTGCCACTTCCAAAAATCCAGCATCGAATTGTTTCTTCACTTCCTCTTTAATTTTCAGCAGCATCTCTGGTTTCATGCGCCTTAGCTTTTGCTGCATCGGCTTACATCCTGATTTTAAAGGTAACTTGTGCTCTACAATATCAGTGCTGAGTCCTGGCATATCTTGATAAGTCCATGCGAACACATCTACATATTCTCGGAGTAGCTCTTCTAGCTTCTGTCTTTCAGCTGGTAAAAGAGATGTACCAACTTTGACCTCTCTTTTGTTCTCACCACCTCCCAAATTTACTGATTCAGTAATTTCTTGGTGGGGTTCAATTGGCTTATCTTCATGTTCTATTAATTTTAACAAATCAAGAGGCAATGTGTAGTTATCTGAATCTTCCTCATTATCAAGTTCATCAACATGAATTAAGTTTTCAAAATCAAATCCGAGATTATTGCCATGATTATCTTCATGTTCATTGTTTGGGACCCTGCAAAGGGTAAGATGAAGAAAATATTGGCACACAAAGATGGAATGACAAGAAAATGTAAGAAAGAAAAGAATGAAAGGTAAAATGAAGATAAAAACAATAGAAAAAATATGGATGCATCTTCTAAGTCTTTTATTAAAATGACAAACATAAACACACCATAAAAGATCTCCTAATAAAAAGTAATTAGGGATTTAAAGTTTCACATTACTTTTCCAAAACAACAGGCAGCTCCATAACTTTCCAATTATCCAGCTCAAAATCTGAAGGACAAGGGTACACGAATAGCTCTTCACTTCGACTCTTCTTTTCTCCATCATCCACCATTTGAATGGCTAGCTCTGAAAATTTTTCCATGAATCCTGTACTTGAGGCTCTCGGTAAATCTGAATAAATGTATCCTCCTGAGTGAAAAGAATCATAGAGGTGTGGAATGACTATAGGCTCTGACTCCAGCTCATATCCCTTAAGATTAGCTATCCTCTTATCTCTTTTCTCATTCACCATTCTTGTTCTGTCCCCTCTTGTTGGCTTATATCCCAAGCCAAATCTATCTCTCTTTTCATTTATAGTCGATGGCTTCGTGATTCCTTGCAGGTTCTTCCCAAGTCCGGCTTCAGGTCGCCATCCCATCTTGGTAAGCTGTTTGACTACCATTTTAGTAGTCGTAGATAAGTATGGCGAATACAATTTAGATCCTCCAGCTATATATGTTGCATTGGCAATCTCGAAAGATCTATAAGAGCATTCTAAAGCTTCATCTGCTGATTCCACATAAGGAGTATTTATCGGTTGAGTTACCAATAAATCTTCTTCTCCTGCCACACATGTTAGCTTCCCTTCAACAATGAATTTGACTTTTTGATGTAATGAGGATGGAACAGCACCTGCCATATGGATCCACGGCCTACCCAATAAACAACTGTATGAAGGAGAGATGTCCATAACTTGAAATTTCACATTGAAAATGCATGGGCCAATTTGCAATGGCACTTCTATATCTCCTAGCACCTCTCTTCTGGTTCCATCAAAGGCTCTCACTATCATATGACTAGGTTTCATATAAGATCCATCAACAGGGAGTTTTGCCAAAGTAGTCACAGGCATAACATTGATGGATGAACCATTATCAATCAAAACCTTAGCCATTATATGACTTTTACATTTCACAGTAATGTGAAGAGCCTTGGTACTTCCTCTACCTTCAGGAGGAATCTCTTCATCACTGAAAGAGATATAGTTTGAAATCGTCAGATTGCCAACAAGCTGTTCCACATATTCAACAGAAGCATTGTGAGACACATATGCTTGATTTAGCACTTTCAGCAAAGCATTACGGTGTGACTCTGAACTGAGCAATAATGACAATAGCGAAATTCTAGCTGGCATCTTGTTAAGCTGTTCTACCACGCTATACTCGCTATGTTTTATTAACTTCAAAAATTCACCTGCTTCACTTTCAGATACTGGCTTCTGCCATTCTTTTTCTAGGGTTGTGTCAAGACCACTCTGACTTTCATTTTCTTCTCCTACTTTGGCTTTCTCCTTTCTAGCTTTTTCTAGAGCTTCTGGGGTATAACACCTCCCACTTCGAGTTATGCCTCCTACACCCGTTATGTTGGCAGTATCTGGGTTAACTACGACATCATAATCATACTTCCAAGGTACTGTTTTATCATTCTGATATGAAAAAGGGCCAGGAACTTTAATTGTCACCACTGGTCGAGAGACGGGTTTTTCTAGCTTTGATGTTGGCTTCTCATCATAATAGATAGTTACCGGTCTACGTACAAACTTATTCTTTGAATCAATGGTAGACACTTCAGCTTTCACCAATTCTTCTTTCTTGGTAAAACTCCATTCGACCTTCATCTATCAATTTTTGCACCTCCTGACGAAATTGATGACAATTCTGGATAGAATGCCCCAGAACACCTCTGTGATAATTGCAGCTTTCAGTTGAGTTTATTATTTCAGAGCAATTTTGAGGTTCTATTGGCTTCAACATGTCAGTTTTGACCAATACTTCGAACACTTTAGCCATAGGAGTTTTGACCTCTTCTATTCTTCTTTTCACATAGCTTGTTTGCCCATCAACCAAAGCATTTATTGATGGTCTGGTATGATTCGGTAGAGGGTTCCCATTGACATTTGGAGTCCCTTGTTGGCTGGTATCAAAAATTTAATACTCCTTCATTGATTAACCCCTGCACTTTACGCTTCAAAGCAGTACAGTTCTCAGTGGAATGAACCTGGATTCCCATAATGATAATCACAATGTGCATTGGGGTCATACCATTTGGGAAACGGAGGTTTCATAGGTTCAATGATAACAGGAGCAGCAGATGTTTCTCAACAAGTCGAGGATACAAATCTGTATATGTCATGGGAATGGGATCGAAAGTGAGTTTTTCTTGGGTATTTCTTGGGGCTCTTGGACCACTATTAGGTCTCCAGTCTGGTCTTGTAGGTATAACAGGACGATTATAGGAATAGGTGGGTGTTCGAAAGGATGGCTGAAAACGGGGTGAATAAGCTGGTTGTGGTAATGACTGGTATGGTTGATATGAATGGGGGGTGGATGTAACATGGTTTACAGAAGGGTAATGGGTTTGGTAGACTGGTACAGAGTAGGGTGTGAAACCTCTGAATTGTTGCCCCAAAAATTTACTGCTTGGGCCTCATTCTCTTTCTTTCTAGGAGCTCCACTCTTTCTTGCTCCACTTGTCTCTCCCACATCAGCTTACCATTTTTTATGGCACTTTCAATGATCTCTCCTGATATCACCATATCTGTAAAGTTCTTGGTTGCATTGCCTATCAATCTCTCATAATATGGTGCTTTCAAGGTGTTCACAAATAAAATAGTTGTTTCTTTTTCAGTGAGAGGAGGTTGGACTTGTGCAGCCACATCTCTCCACCTTTGTGCATACTCCTTGAAGTTTTCAGTTGCTTTCTTTTCCATGCTTTGAAGAGATAGACGATCTGGAATCATATCCGTGACATGACGATATTGTGTAAGGAATGCCTTTGTAAGCTCTTGCCAAGAATGAATACGAGTTCTATCTAGTTGGACATACCATCTAGCTGCAGAACCCGTGAGACTATCTTGAAATATGTGCATTAACAACTTCTCGTCTCGAGCATATGCTGCCATCTTTCGACAATACATGATGATGTGGGTCATTGGGCATTTTGTGCCATCATATTTTTCAAATTCAGGGACCTTGAATTTAGTTGGAATTACCACGTCTGGAACTAAACAAAGGTCAGCCGCATCTGTGGAGCCATAAAAATTCATTCCCTCTACAGCCCTAAGCCTTTCTTCCAATAACTTCATCTTCTCCCGGGCACTGGTATCTTCTACCTTTTCAGGTGTCTGCATCCCTAGCTTTTCTCTTTCCTTGGGATCATCCAAATCAGGAACTAAGATTGGCTCAGGTGGTTTTTCCATCATAATGGGATTAACAAAATTTTGAAATTGTCCTGGAGCAGGTGTGGATGTTATTCCTGGATAAGGATTAGGATATCCACCAGGAGTAGGAATTGGTACTCTAGTTCCTTGTGAAGGTTGGTTCAGTCGTGGCTCAAACCCTGGAGGATAGACAGGATCTACCATATCTGGCGATTGTTCTTGAAAGCTAGGATTTTCTTCCACTGCTTTTCCCTTGTCAAGTTTCCTGAGCATATCCATTATTGTACTAAGATCTCCTTTTAGTTCTTCTTGAGCTTTCTCAATTCTCTCAAATCGACTGGCCTGTTCTTGCTCCATGATTCTTGTCTGTGTCCTGGTATTGTATGAATGACGAGTAGGTTGGGCCGAAATTTTTGATGGGTGAGCTATTCTTGAACCTTTATTACCACAAAGTTTTTATTTTGAAAAAGAAAAAAAAAATTAGAATGCTATGTGTTAAAATTTTTATTTTTGAAAATTTTTTTTTTAAAAAAAAATGATGCAAATGATGCATGAATGCAAAAAAAATATTTGATATGATTAATGCAAAAGGAAAAAGAGAAAGAAACAAAATTGAGTTAGTGTGAGGATGTGGTTTAAGAAAAAAACATTTTTTTTTGTTTTGTTTTTGTGTTTTGAGATTTTTTTTTGTTTTGTTTTGTTTCGTATTATACACAACTTTTATTCTTAGGTATTTTCTACAAGAAGGTAGACGGGGCTCTACATAAGGCTGATTTCCTAGGCTTATTATATGCTGGGTTTGGATTGACAGGGTCTAAAGGTTCCCAAATTGTTCCTCACTGTCGTCCATATTGGACTAGTAAGGCACCCCGATCCTCACCCATTACAGGCTACGAACGGAAAGGGTTCAATTCGAGTGGAAGTATTTCGCTTGCCATTGCGGAGGTTATCACCTCACGAGAGCAATAGGTACTTTACTTCCTCCTATAAAGGACGGAGCCCGGGTATAGAGCTCATGTATGAGATGCATCGTGCCATTGTGTGCAAATATATCCTAATTTATTGAAAGCAATATATAAAAATAAAACATAAGAGGCATAGTAAGAGAAATGTGTGTGAATTTTTTGCTTTTTATTTTGATTTGTTTGTTTTTTGGTTTTTTTTTTTACCTTTTAATGAAATAAATTAAGAAATTGATTAAGACTATTTAAATCAAAATTTGAGGATAACAAGTAGTTAATTTTGGCCTGACTCTCGAAAACAAAAGGCTTCCCCAGTGGAGTCGCCAAGCTGTCGTAACGGTTTTGTGTCCGCCCGACGAATTTGGAAACGAAATAAAAAATAACGGAGTCGCCACCAATCTTTTTTGGCTAGGTGCGATTGGCCACCTATTAAAACATATCCTTTTAATGAAATCTTAAAATTAATTAAAATTTATTAAAAAGATAATTTTACGGTCTGCGAAACAGTCTGGGTTCGGGAGTCGATTACGTGTGGGGAAGGATTAGCACCCCCACAACGCCCGTTAAAAACGGTACCAATTAACAACGTGTTATCCTTTGATTTTGATACAAACAGTCTTATTTTCAGTATTCGAAAAATAATTTCTTTGATTTTTTATTTATTAAAATTATTCTCGAGAAAAATAAATCAAAACCTTTTTATTGAAATAATTCTTAAAATATTCCAGTACGTTGGTAACATTAAAAGAACTCTTTCTCACCTAGAGATTTCTTAAAGCATCTCTACTCGGAATACTTTTAGAATCTCATCTTTGGAGGCTCGAATTTACTTTTCGTAAGAAAATGTCATGTAAAAAAATTTATTCTCGAGAAAAATAAATTAAAACCTTTTTGTTGAAATAATTCTTAAAATGTTCCAGTACGTTGGTAACATTAAAAGAACTCTTTCTCACCTAGAGATTTCTTAAAGCATCTCTACTCGGAATACTTTTAGAATCTCATCTTTGGAGGTCTAAATTTACTTTTCGTAAGAAATTATGTTATGCATGCCATGCAAAATATTTTCGTGTTTATGCACACATTTTATTCTCATTCAAAAATTTTATTAATTATTTTATTAATTTTAATTAAAATTTTGAAGAAAAAAGGAATTTAATCATATTGAAGATTTTCTATAAATATTCCAATACGCTGGTAATATTTTACAAAAAATCTTCTCACCTAGAGATTTCTTAAAGCATCTCTACTCGGAATACCTTTGAATCTCATCATCGGATTAAATTTCTTTTCTTCTTATTTTTATTACTTATATTTTAATATATTCATTAATTTTTATTTATTATTCTTAAAAAAGAAAATCTTTACTATATTGAAAATTTTTATAAATACTCCAATACGCTGGTAGTACTTAAAAAAATCTTCTCACCTAGAGATTTCGTAGGCATCACTACTCGGAATACCTTTGAATCTCATCATCGGATAAAAATTTCCTCTTCTCTTATTTTTTATTAGTTATATTTTAATTTATTAATCAATTTTTATTTATTATTTTTAAAAAAAGAAAATCTTTACTGTATTGAAAATTTTTTATAAATACTCCAATACGCTGGTAGTATTTTAAAAAAAATCTTCTCACCTAGAGATTTCGTAGGCATCACTACTCGGAATACCTTTGAATCTCATCGTCGGATAAAAATTTCCTTTTTCTTTCATTTTTTTATTACTTTAGTATTATTATTAAATTTATTTTTTATGTTATTGTTTTTAAAGTTTATTCTAAAAATTAACATAATTATATAAAAAATTATTTAACCACAATTTCATTAATTAGTCTAACAAATATAGATATTTTAATATGCATAAATATTAATAAAATAATATATAAAAAATAAGAAAAATTCAAAAAAAAAAAAAAATTTTTTTACCTGAACCGGACCGGTCAACGGTCCGGTCAACTCCTGGTTCGGTTCGGCGGTTCGGTTCGATCTGGTTGGTTTGGTCCGGCGGTTCGGTTCGGTCTAGTCAGACCGGTCAGAGCTGATAAAGGCAGCGGGTCGCGGGTCGGGTGCGCGGACCCCGGGTCGGGTCGCGGGTTGACGCGCGGATCCTCCTTGGCTGAAACGGCGTCGTTTTGGGTCTTTCTCTAAACGACGTCGTTTTGAGTTTTTGCTTTACTATATATAGCTGAAGATTTTTTTTTGGTTCATTTGGCTTCTGTTTCAGAAAAAAAAAAGGGAGAGAGGGAGAGAGAGAGCTCTGGGGGAGGGTCGCCGGTCGGTTGCCGGAGCACCGTGCCGGCCGCCGTCTGGCTCGCCGCCGGCAGTCTTGGACGGTGGTTTCCGATGACCGGGAAAAGTGAAAATTCTTCTGGAAGTTCTCTTCGACGCGATCTTTCCAGATCCGGTGTCCTTTTTACCGGAAACAACCCTGATCGACGTAGATCGGGGCTCAAAGTTTCGGTCTCCTTTTTTTTTTTTTTTTTTTTTTGAATCTGCTGATCTCTCTCTTTTTTTTTTCAGGTGACTTTCTGGCGCTGGGTTCCCCGTTCCAGGGGACTGTTGTTTTTTTTTTTTGTGTGTTTTTGCAGAATTTTTTTTTTTTTACAGAAGCTGCCTCCTTTTTTTCTTTTTTTTTCGTTTCCTCTTTTAGTCTAGTTTACAAGCTATATTTATAGAGCTTGTTGGGATTCAAATCTCAGATTTTCTGAGATTTGAATCTCATTTTTCAACTGAAAAATCATACCTACCGTCCGTGATTGGTGGCTTGTCGGGAGGCTGATCGGGTAGTTGGTCGGGCCAGTTCGGCGCCGAACCAACCCCTTGACTTTTGTTTTATTTCTGTTTCTTTTGTTTGTTTATTTTTTGTTTTTTGTTTGTTTTGTTAAATATTATTATTATTAAAAAAAAAATAATAGATCCGAACAAAATCGGTGTGTACAATGATGGTTAATTTTTTATAATTTAATCATAAGTGAAAAGCTAAGAAGAAGAGTGTGGTTCGATTAAATCCTTTAATATTTTTATAATATAAAGCATATGTTAGTTCGTTAAAGTCAGATTGTATAAATAAAAGTCGTATCATCTTTTATTTTATAAAAGAATAAGGATTTAAATCAATCAAATATTAACAAATTCATTTGATCTTTATTTTTAGAATTGTTCGAATGTATTTTGTGTTCAATTATAAATAATGGATTATAAATATCTTTATAAATAGCATAAATAATTAAATTAAGTTTTGGATATAATAATGGATTATAAATAAATTAACTTATTCTAATTCCTTTTCCCGCTATAAGTGATTCTGAATTTGTGGCTCTCCGTGAGTCGGTTGGAAAAAGTATAAAGCAGTGGACCCCACACTCTCTATCCAGCGGTGCTAATTAAAACTTACTTTATTTGAAGGACCAAAATGTTTAAAAAGTAAAAGAAATTGTCCGATATTTATTTATTGCCAATTACTAAAATGAAAATACTATTAGCCAAGAGCTCAAGATTTATAAGGAAAAATTTGTAATCAATATATCAATTTCCTTTTAAATTTAATGAAAATTTATTAAATAATAAATTATATTTAAGGGAAAAATAAAAAAATTAAAATTTCTTATTCAACTTTTTTTACAAAAAATCATAATTTGAAAGATAACAGAATTGATTAAATAGATCAATTAAACATGTTAAATATTATTTTTAAAAAATAATTATATAAATTAATTGAGTCAAATTTAATTAATTTCTTATTTAACTTATGTGTTAGGGTTAAAAAAAAAAGCTCAAAAAATAGAATGATGACTAATAATATCCGTATACCATTGCAAGAAAGTCACATGGATTTCAAATTGAAAAACTCTAATCTCATTTATATATATATATATATATATATATATATATATATATATTAGTGGTTATCCGTACTTACGTTGCAAGTTCAATATTTTTTTAATTGGTAGTGAATATTGAATTAAGAATTTACAAAGAATAAATATATAAAAGCTTACAAATTAAAGCATATAAATCCAAATATTCATATTCTATAAATTTCAAAAAAAATTAAAATAGATGTCAAAAGAAAATTAGAGGTTTAATATAGTAGTATAGACGTAGATTATTATTATTATTATTATTATTATTATTATTATTATTATTATTATTATATGATACATATAATAATATTCAATTATAGGATATAAGCAACAAGGAAGAAAATGAAGTGCTGCTGATCATCTATAAAAGGTAAGGAGTTCTGGTATGAGTTTGGGAGTGCAAACTAGGCTGAATTAAATGTATTTCCTCTGTCTGCCTTTTACTTTTTTCAATCCACCAAGCAAGAACCACTTTATACTAT